CTTTTCTTTCTTTTCTCCTCCTCTCTCTTCTTTTCTTCTTCTCTCTTTTTCCTCCTCTCCTCTTCCTTCCTTCTGTCATCCTCTGCCCTTTTTCGTTTCTCGTCTTCCCTCTTCCGCCCTACATCAAGCTTGGCCTTGTTTTCTTCTTCTTGCTGCCACTGAGCCTCCAGGTCGGCCGCATTCTGGATGCCCTCTGTCCTGGGGGGTCCCCCCTCTCCCTGGAACAGCGCTAACAGCTCGGCAGCACTGGAAGTCAGTAAAATTGATCTCATGAAAGCTGCCTGGATAAAAACATGCATGTGTGTGTGTGTGTGTGTGTGTGTGTGTGTGTGTGTGTGTGTGTGTGTGTGTGCATGTGCATGCATGAGTGTGTATGCAAGTCTGCTTGTACATATCCACATGTTCACTATAACAAGTGCTGTCACAGTATAAGTACCGTAAAGAATTTGAGACACAACCCCAGAATTTGAAAAACCTGTAATCCTTCAAACATTGAAGACGACCAATTATAATAAATGTAAAATTAAACACCCCAACCCACACTGAGAGCATGTCCTTACCCCTTTAGCTGTTCTACTGAGTCAGCACCAGTTTGCCCATCACTGTCACCTATTGAGGATTCACTGTTTGAGGGGACACTTGGCTTACAGCTGCCTGGACTGGAAGGTGAGAAAATAATGTTGATGTTACATGACCATATTTGATTATGTATGAATAGTTGCAGGGGCGGATCCAAAGATATTTTCTGACAGTCTTCCAAATTATCTCTGTTAATCCATCCTCCATTTTTTGACCGTCTTCCGACAGAAAATATTAGATACCAGTCAATGTAAACATGAAAATCTGATCGTCTTCCGGAAGACCCAGAAGACACCCTAAATCCGCCCCTGAGTTGCAGCTCATCTTATACTCCATACTCAATGTCTCAGCAACAATTTGGTGTTCCTTTTGTCAAATGGCATTTCTAGATCAACTTCTATCTACCTTATGCCCATAAATAATGCAAAGTGGAAAAAAAAACAGTAGCATATAAACATGATAAGACCATGAAAAAATACCACCAAATTATACATGTCAGCATGATCAGGACCTCATAATCATCATAAATATATTACCTGCCAGTCTTTTCCGCTGTCTCAGTCCCTCTTCTTCCCCCTCTCTGTGGCCTGCTGTCTCTGTAACTTTTACTTGGACTTCCTCTTCCTACATCTCTACCATCACCTTTGGCATTAGCATTGGCAGGATTCTAGAGCAAATGGTAATACGATTAGCAAAACTTAGTAAAACAGATATAAATTCTGTGCAAAAATGTTCATTAGCTTGGTAGTTGGATCATTAATGAAAATTATAAAACACAAGCTGAAAAACTTTCATACCATTAGCTTACAGCCAACTGTGACAACATCTAATCACATCAGTCTGATCAAGACTTATGTCCAGCTAACAGTATGGAAGTTTTTCGTCTTAAGATATAAATTCTGTTTACAACTGGGCAGAAATAAATGTAATACAAAAAATAATTTTGCACATGTGCCATCCACATGAAAATCTATTAATATCCTTTAAAGTCCTCACCTCCCTGTCCAACTTCTTGTCACTGCCTTGCTCAGACTTTGTGACCCTGGAGGCTGGTTTATCACCATCTTTTTTACGTGGAAATCTTGGCTCCGGGCGTCTGGGGCCTGAGTTACTTTTATCCTTCAGATATAAATGAATATTTATGAATAAATAAACTCAGTAAACAATTTGAATGCAATGCAATGTAAGAAAATTTAAAATATGAAAATGTCATTGGATAGAATTGATTTGTACAGTTAGTCACTGGTTAAAAATTCTGACATGAGACTTAAAGCATGATATAATTTTTCAAAAAAAAAAAAAAAAAATCAAATCCAACTGGCCCTTAACTCAACCAGACACTCATATTGAATCAATGGTCCAAAGCAGAAAAAGTGGCAAGTAACTTAACAAAGTTTTCACAATTTTGCAAGCTTAACTTCAATTTTACTGGCATTTGACACTGGGCCATTAAGAAACAACAGAGCATGTAAATACATGTACACAGTTTTTCTCTTTATTAAATACATGCATGATTAAAATGAATTACAAATGGAATATAAAAAACGTCAACTTACATCCTGCCCTTCTTTCTTGCTTTCTTCTTTTCTCTGATCAGTATTCTTTCCCCCATTTCCCCCTCCCTGCCACCCCTGTCCCCTGCGATCACTTCTCGTCCATTCACGTTTGCCATAGTTTGTGTTAGTTCTCCCTTTGTCTGGTGAATCATTTCTGCTACTGCTGTCTACCTCAGTCTTACCCACAGCAACCTCAGCCTGTTCATCCATGGTAAGCTGTATCAAAACGTCTGAAACATGACCATATCATTGAGAGTTGTGGCTTTTTCCACTGGTCAACTTTCTGTGCACTGATTATTGTAATTCAGATTTTGGACTGAAATGAGACACTCAGGTTATGGTAAAAGATTCCTCATTGACATGGTGGCATTTGGTTGTTGTTAAGTTATTCTATAATGATATAAAGCAAAGAGAGATACACTGTACTGGAGGGCAAGCGCAGTGTTGAACATTGGACTGGTATTTACAAACCAATAAAGAAACATGCTTTCGATTCCAATTCAAAATTCTTGTTCTTAAAACGCTGATTATATTAATTCATTAAACTTTTGGAAATGCTGTCCATTGCTGTTGACTTTATTCATGGGTTGATGCCAGCTACACGTATTTTGTTTTCATTTTTTGCACTGTGCCGTCGGTGGCAGAGAGAAATTACAACTGTAAACATACCTTGTGTACCACACTAAAGCCACACAAAATAATAAATAAAGTACTAAATAATGCGTGGTACCTTGCCTTTACACAGTCTGCATCATTCTAAAGACCGGTTTAGGTCGCAACTAAGCCAAACAGGCCAATGATTTGAAGTACAGTTTCACATTCTGAATTATGGCGTTTCCTGCATCTTCACATGTTGACTCGTTATCAAAAATAGATTTTAGTTTCGAAATTTTGACAACTATAAATAATTCAAAAGTTTATAAATATTTGCTGAAATAAATGCAATTATTAATCTAAAATATTAACTAGGAAAAAATAACAGAGATTTATTAATACTGATGTCAAATTTTGTTAGGAATACATAACAAAAACTATTGTCTATGATTACTGCCATCTTCTGACTTGGCGGGAGATACTATTTAGGTGAGTATGAGGAATATACGTTTTTTTATTAATAAATCTCGAAATACGATCCCAAAACGATTATATCTTCTCGGGGAATGTTATATGATAGATGATAATAACCCAAAAATACATTATGATAGCTGGATCGTTGTTTTACGTGCTTAATGCAGTTATGAACGTAGGCCGGTGAAAGTACAGTACTTACTACACTGGAACTGTACATTGTACTGGATAACCTCTAACGATCATAGTAAGTTTAAAAACTCACACAAAACAATTTTATCTTCATTGATGTTTAAGCACACATCAGAGGACCATAAGACTTAAATCACTGCCCCCCAAAATGTTTTTAAAAGAAAAAAATTAGCCATCTGTTTATCTTTATTTGGTTTGTTGGGTTTACAATGGGATTTTATTCAACTGTTACTTCAAGGCATTTTATATTTCTTGCAGGCACATATTTTTACAGTTCACATTTAGAGGTCAAGTATTTTAAACTTATTTCAAATTGGAATCTGATACTGGAGGAGAAAGATATAACAATGTCAGGTAATGTTAAAAATCCATTTATTATGAGCATTTTGCATATTTTTTTAGGTACCTATTATGTATCCTTTTCTATTTTGTCTGCATACATGTACATATACTGACATCTCTTCTGATATACTTTCTTAGGATGGCATCATGGTTTTTACTCTTTATGAGATATATGTATTTTTTAAGGTTATGATTGTCAGTTGTAGTATCATTCATAACTACTGTACAGTAAAAAAATACTGAAATGAGATAGTGATAAACTTGGATTACTGGTCCATAAACTTGTTTTCCCTTTTTTTATTAATTTCTTCACCTTAGGTGATGAATGTGATCTCGATGAACTGACAGCATTTTTAGAAGAAGATTCAGACCTGGAAGACAAGGCCAGTGAGCAGCCTATTCAAACTACTCCATCTGATGCCTCTGTTATAAACAACAACGACACTAGGACTAAAACTGAGAAAAATGACCATTTTACGGATGCAACCAGAGACAAGAGTACCAATTTTACAACTAAGACAAATGATGGGGACAAAGAACTTGAGGGCAACTCATTTACTAAGGAAAGTGAGGCAGAAATGGGAGGTCTTTCACAGAATGCTACAGATGATGACAATATTTTCGGTGAAAGCAAACAAGATCTCACAGAAGCAGAACTCCAAGCTTTGCTTGATGACAGTGACTTAGAGGAACAAGGACCAGGTTAGAGATATAAAAATATATATAAATAATAAATATGAATTAATATGAATATAAAGGATGTTTGATATGTATTTGATAAGGTTCACAGGCCTGACAATGCTGGAGTGCTGGTTTTCACATGCATGAGTGTATATGTATATGAGTGTATATTGTATATGTGTGTAGAGAGAGCAGGTGTGTGCACATGAGTGTATATGTATATGGGTATATTGTATATGTGTGGAGAGTGCAGGTGTGTGCACATGGGTGTATATGCTCATGCATTTGCATGGGTGTAATAATAGCCAGGAGTAAAAGAGGAAAATGCACCATCCATTTCCTATGCAACACCTTCTGAGTTGATATTGATCAGCCTACTGTGTTCATATGTATACCTATTCTTGGATCAGTGATTTGCGTCACAAATTACAACATTTTTTTTATTATTATCATAATGTAGACCGTTAGAAATAAGGGAGATTTGTTTTGAAAACAAATTGATGCATCACTTCTTATTGAATACTTGTCGAATAATACAACTGTCTTAGCTATCATCATTTTATGGTAAAGAGAGGTTGTTTTGGTTGATAGTGTTTTAATGATTTTTTTAGTTACTCAGAGAGATACAAATAAAGAGTTCATGTCCAAATCTCTAAATGATCAGGAGGAGAAAGAGAAAAAGAATGACATTTCAGACAAAGAAGATCTTGCAGGTATGGCCTTTCAGAGTTATACAGTCACATTTTAATTGAATTATACTACATATTATACTACATATCCAATTATCAAATCATTTTTAAATTTGTCATGCAATGCCATATAAAAATTGATTTTTTGCTCATTTAAATTCTGATTTGTTTCTCCTCTCAAGATTTATTTTACAACTCAAAATCATGTCTTTGTTACAAATACCTTATAAACGGTATTCAAAATTCCACTTTGTAATATGAACTTTGAAAAAATTGTACTTTTAGCCGAGCTAGCAAGAATGAAAGAAAAGATGAGACTTATGGAAGAACAACTTAAAAACCACTCACAGGCTACTCCAGAATCGGTGCAGATATCAGAAAAAATGAAAGGTGAAAAGCCCCAGTTTTGTGTCAGTACTGAATATTGTAATGTATAAATCTGATCATCATGGACTTTACTGTAAGGTATTATATGACTAATTATATAAGATGAAGTACATGTACATCTCTTGAAAAGCTGTTTGGTTGGCATTTTTATTTAATGTTTCTTGAGTGACAGAAGAGTTATATTAATAATTATTGTAAATGACAATGTTTTATATGATAACAATGGTTTGTTTCATTAATCGTTTTTTCATCTTTTGAAAACATTTGTTGTGCTATTTCTTCGTCTCAATTATTTCAACAGCTAAGCCAAGACAGTTAAAGGACTTGGACAACAACATCTTTTTTCCTGAATCTGGTGAAAAGGGGAGGGTAGTTTCACCCAAACAAACTTTAAGTCATACATCTGCTAAGAAAAATGTGCTGAAAAAAGAGATGCTGACGGAGGAGAAACCTGATAATGCTGAGACTGATGGAAAGTTTTTTCCAGATAGTGATGACAGTGATTGGGAGGGGATGGATGGTGAGTTTGACCACAGTGCCATCTATTTTGTGGAGAAGTGAAACTCGACTGGAGTTTTTCTTTGTTGTATGAAAAAAGAAAAAGCTCAAATAAGCTGAGAGTCAAATATTGCAGTTATATCTATCTTGAGGCACTATATTATATATACTATTAGCATAAGTTTGATGATTATGAAGATTATGAAGGAGCAAAATGTATATTAGGTTTATTTAGATTTATCTTGTAAACCAAGGTTTGATACATCAATTGAATAAGATTGACACTAAATTCATTTTCATAAAGACATTTTCGGGTGTTTTATTTTTATTTCTTGCTTTAATTTTTTATGCAAATTTGATATTTTACAGGTCATTTTGGGTTTTTTAAGTATGTTGCATTGTTTCAGGTGAAAAAAGCTCTTTGTCAAAAGAGGGCAAAGATATCAAGAAACTAATCAAGACAGGACAAAGAGAGAGACAAGCTCACAATCCTAAATATGACATGAGTGCAATACCTAAGGCAAAGGAATCCAAATCTTGTATGTCTCAGCTGTTTCAAACTCTGAAATCTCTGTGGTGCAATTTCATTGTAATAGCATGATTTTTGTATATTTTTTAAATCAAACCAATTGAGAATCAAATAAAATTCTTAAAATTTTATAAGTAGAATAATCTTATAAACTTTTTTTATTATCTTTTCATATTTTTGTACAATATTATTAGCCAGCACTCTCACATTAATTTCTTGCCATGGCATTTTTTAATTAATAGCATGATTACCTAGTGAATTATATATTATTTCATAGGGAAAGCTGCTGTAAAATCTACACCAGATGGAGCCACCTCTTCTTTGCCAAGACAAGTAGACAATGACAAGGCCGACTCATATAATGGAATACGAGTCATGTAAGTTTTTCTAAGGCTCTATTCCCATAGATTTTAGATTGATCTATCCCCGCGGGGAGTCTCACTAGATAACTTTCAGATAATCTGACTTAAATGTCCGTCCCGCCTACTACAAGCTGTAAGGGGATAATTAACTTTCGTGTCCGCCCAGCTGACAGCTATTTAGCGTGAACCCCCAGGGAGTTAGGTCGGTCTAAAGTAGGTCGATCTAATCTATGGAAATGGGGTATAAATAAATTTAAGATTTGTATCAGAAAATGTCCTTAATTAGGGGACCTGCTTTGATCCATCTCAATATAAAAAAAACTTGATAAATTTGGGAATAATGTCAGTTATGCTCAGTGATGTTCTCCGAAGTGGTGCCATTTTTTTTACTTCCAGTAACCCCCTTATTTCCTCGAGTCTTCTGAAGACGCGCATGGATGGACGGCGGCTGATTAAACTGTCTCAGGTTCACCGTAGAGTTGGTACCAGGGAGATGGAGGGCGACTGGGTCACCACAGGAGTAGTGGTGTCCAAGTCAGAGACAAGACTGAGTGGGAATGTATGTATTAAGGATTGAAATAAGGTTGATTTGGTTGTGTGTGTTTGTGTGGGTTTTGATTGTTTGAAGATAATGCAATACATGTGCTATGCGAAGTACTTGCAAAGTCAGGGGCGGACGGGGCTGTCAGTGTCTGCTGGGTCTTCTGGAAGATGGTCGGAAGCTTTCAGGTTTACATTAACAGCCATCTTGTTTTTTCTGTCGGAAGATGGTCAAAAATGGAGGATTGTTCAACTAAGATAATTTTGAAGACTGTCAAAAATATCTCTGGATCTGCCCCTGAAAGTGGTTTACTAGAATTCTGATATAAAGTGAAAACATATAAACCATATTTAACTGCATATGAGAACTCTGTGTCAAATCACATATTCAGGGTAGTGGGCAACACATTAAGGCATGGGTCATATGTCCTATAGGTTAAAGCTGCTTGTATATAGGGGAGCATATTAAATGGTGTGGCCTTCAGTGTGACCAATCATGTGTTATAATGTCTCAAAATTGCATGTGTCTGAGGGGGATAGTTTTTTAAAGTAACCTGACTCATATTTTTGTCGAAGACACAGAAATTTTTCAACTTTTTTTTTTAACTTTTTTTTTTTGTTTAAAAACCAAAATAAAATTGTAAAAATTTTAGTTGACGGTGAGGAAGGTGGTGTCCATCCTCATTTAAAAATGCTTGAATCATACATAACAAGTGAAGGTTAAACTGTTATATTTGTTACTTAAAGAAATTGTCTTGATTATAATAAATGAATTTTTCATTTACACTTTACATATGATACATAGAGACTCCATTTTACTATTTTCAGGGTAAAAATTTTGTAATCTGGAAGCTGAGCGACTTGGAGGACTGTGATAAAATTGTGTCATTTTTCCTGTTTGGAGAGGTTTACAAGCACTTGTGGAAGACAGAGACTGGGAAAGTAATAGCCGTGCTCAACCCCTCAATAATGCCTGCCTCTGAAAAGGTGAAGCATTATGCCAGATTTTCAGGGAATACACATTTTTTATCTTCTGTCTCAGTTAAGATTTCACTCTGTGTTTGTAACTATTGGGTTTAGATGGTACTGGGATGTAATTTAAAGGAAAAATGTAAACAAAATTTCAAAAATTCTGTAAAAGACTGAAAAATCTTTAGTCACAGTAGCATTTTTTGGCAAAAGACCTGCATGTCAACCAATTAAAAATCAGAGATTTTGTTGATGTCACTGTGTCTGTTGATCATATTTACTAGTACTGGAGTACTTACAAACCCCTATGGCTTTTAGAAACCATTACTCGTTAAATGGTGTGCATATTCCAGATTTTTTATCCCAGTTAAAAATCCCAATATGCTTCCATAAATCACATTTTACTGTTACTGTTACTTTAACAGGGTGGCCAAAAATGACAATGATTTTGATTTTATTTTTTAGAAACAAAATTCCTTCGATGTCAGCTTCACTGTTGATAACTATCAGAAAGTGATGATGTTAGGAATGTCCAAGGATATGGGGCGTTGCAGAGCCAAAACTAAGTCTGGACAGGATTGCTCAAACTTCATTAACAAGTAAGAATTAATAGTAGATTTGCATGCCCACTGGTTTTAAGTGAATACAGTAAACTTTAGGTGGTTTTTCTTTGTGTCTTGTATAATGATGGTAAGAAAAGTAAATCAAAACTACAGACACCTCACATGCTTTTTATTTATGAGACATGATGTTTCGATCCTTCATCAAAGAGCCTAGATCTTGTCTTGTCTGTGTGATCTCTAAGGATATTCAGACATGATCATAGCCTTTTCATGAAGGATCAAAATGTCACGCCTCATAAAATGAGAACACATTTCTCTTAATTAAGATCTCTTAAAAACTATATACGGAAAAAAAGATTAAGCTGATAAAAGGTAGTTTGGATAAAAAAGCACTTCCAGAACATTGAGAGAATTTAAAGTTTTATTAAGCAAACTTCTACAAATACATCTGGTCTAATCCATAACAATAAAGATTGAACTAAGCTGTTTATAGTACCGATCAATAATCAATAAAATCTGTTCACTTCTGAAATATCCCTCTGTCTTCACTGTGGAGACATGTGTATACCACATAACCTATGGATACAAAAATACATGCTTCTTTAAAATACAGTATATTTGATACCGTCATTTGTTTCTTTTCTGGTTTCAGGAGTCAAGGAGAATTCTGTACATACCATGTGCAATATGGCTACAAAAAAACCTGCTCACAAAGAGTTGAACTCCAGGCAAGGTGAGGAGAGAGATATTTCATGTTATTAAAGATTTTAAGACCCTTTTCACATTTAGTTGTACACTTATCTGCATGCCATCAATTTCAGGGGTTAACAATTAATAGACTGGCTTTTACGTATGAAAGTCATCTAAACAGAATCCACCCATATAGCATGTCCCCCTCCCCCAAGTAATATAATTATGTTGGGACCAGTCAAAACATTGCGATACAGCTAAGAGCACATCACAAGTGCACATCATGTAAAAAGGGACTAACTTTTCAAAACATCAGGATATAAATCCTTCATAAGCCCTGAGCAATCTTAACACAGGTGAATTATTTAAAACATTAACAAGTTGAACTATCACTTTTTTTTTTACATGAAATCACATTTTTTTCATGAAATCTGCCTAGGCTACCAGTCTTCTTTTAATTTAAGCCAAGTAGCAAGTTAAATTTTTGGGGACTGCATGATAGCAGATAGTGATAACATGAAATAGTTAGGTGTTAACAATATAATAGCTGTCCTCGTAAAATGGAATTTGTTAATCAGCAAGTAAAAAGCTTAAAATGTCAATACAATTTCTTTTTTTTTTTTCACATTGATTTAAGTGAATACTAATAAAGGCTACCAGTATTTGATTACAATTCTTTGAAAAAAACTACATCTACGGTTGTACCTCATGTTCATTTATATGATATATTGTAATAGAATGTAATATATAATAAAGTTATAGAATATAATATGATAATTGTAGTATTGATTATTCATATGATTTAATTTGGCATGTCTTTGAGATGTAAACCACCCAAATTTTGGCTCAATGCTAAGACACTATGCTTGCCACAACTTAGAAAAGCAATATTTGGCCTACTGCCTAGTAAAGGAAATAACTGGCGCAGTGGTTTTATAATGTGATCTCCAAGTGATCTGTCCCTTTTTTAAGATTTCTCTCTTGGAAATGGAACTGTTCAAAACCTTCCAAAATTCTTGCAACTATTATACATGGCAAAAAAGTATCAATATGGCATAATAGTTTACAGTAGGTCTTACAAGCCTTGGGTTACTCTCCACTGGGTCATAAGAGACTCAAAAAGTTGCTCTGCCTGTGGTATCGTCTGGCCACATAACTTTGAGGAAGTTTCTAACTTAAAAGCATTATAGATCCAGCTCCAGAGCTGACAATGAAGAAAGGCGAGAATGGCTGAAACTTAATGAAATTTACCAAATTTTAAGTTGATCGCCATGGTAACAAAGCATAAGTCTATATTTTGAAACACCACAAGAAAGATCCGAAAATTTACCAGATATTTTTTGCAGACATAAATAACCCATTTGTATTGATGCTACACACATTTTCATTTACCAAAAATACATCAGAACAACTATTGTAGTCAAGTTAAGAAAAATACTTGGATACAAACTGATCGTTGAAAAATTGTTTAAGTGGTGACGTTGGTTCTTGTGGGTCTAATAATACATAGATTTGATAAATATTACTGGCCCCACTTCACTACTGCTTGGTATTGAACCACGAAAAGTTTTGCGTTGCCTGTTGTTTGTTAAAGATAAAAATTTTACTGGATCAAGTAAAATAAATTGATTTGATTTCTTTAAATTTTCGCAAATTAATAACCAATCCAAAATAAAAGAATGACATGAGAACAATAAAATAGCTAAAGCCTGTCTTTTAAACAAAAAACAATTATCTTTAATCCATGTCTATTGAAGCCTACAGCAGTTTTTTTTTTTAATTGCCAAAGCATGGATGCATAGTTGTCTAATATGTTATCTGCATGCATTTAACTGAATTTGGTAAATTTTTTGATTCATCAGCATCTTCTGGGTCTTCAGAATTGCTCTCCCATACATCACTCAGGAGATTGTAGGAATACACTTTGGTCTCAGAACCAACCACAATATTCCAGATTTTTCCATGGAATGTACACAAAGCTGAGTTAGTTACGTTAGTAGGTGGGTTGAGTTTGATCCACACCCCATCTAGGGGCTTGAACTGATAGAATACTCGGTTTTCATCATAGACTTCCTCATCATCATCCTGTTCCTCTTCATGTTCTTCAGAATTAGGCAGGGGCTTGATCTCTACCTCCAAGCCAATGATAAAGATGGACTCTTCCATCACTGTAGCAGTGCACTTGGAAATGGCTGCAGGTATTTCTGGGCCCAGCACACATTCTCCTGTTTGCGAGGAGTATATCTGAACCTTGTTAGTGGCATCATTCAGAGAGCCAGATATGTCAGTTGTCCCTCCAAAGGTGTAGACTTTATCTTGAAAAGAGACAGAGGCATGCTGCCAAACCCCAGTGAGCAGATTACCTGCTGGTCTCCACTTGTTCTGCTGGATGTTGTAGACTTCAATCTTGGAAACTATGCCGTTATTTTGCTGGGAAGACCTAGAATATACCTGTCTTTCTAAACCCCCTATAATATGTAAACAGCCACCTATTATTACCATAGTATGGTTTTGCCTTCCAGTCAGCATTGTTGCAAGCTCTTTTTCACATTGGAGCCCAAGCTCAGCCTTGTACATGATCAATCTCTCTGGGTTATCCTTTCCCCCAGACACGAAAACCTCAGAGTTCACAGCACTGCTGCAAATAGCTGCGTCTCTAAAGCCCTGGTGTTTAGTTTGTCCAGATGTCCAATTTAGATTGCCCAGCTGGGAAGTCTGTCTAGAAAAAGAGGCGCCATCATTTGTTGTGCTGAGAAGTAGGACATACTCTCGTCTTTTCAAGGAATGCCTTGGTGATGCTTGGGGATATGGTAACTCAAAGTACATGGTAGGGTCTGACTGGAAAAGCTGGGCTTGGCGGAGAAGCTTCATGATGTCTCCATTATTTCTCATGATTTCATTGTCCATAAGTGTCATCAAATATCGGGAACTTAGCAAAGAGAACCGAACATGAGAGAGGACCTCAACAGCATCAGTCTTTCTCTCTGGCTCTGCCGCTATCCACTGAAGAGCAATTTGAGCCACGCTGTCTTCAGATTGAATATTCAAACTATCACTTGATATAAATTGAATAAGATTTACTTTTGACAGGGATGCCACCAAAGGAGATGCAACTTGCAAAAAATTTTCTAAGGAAAAGTGCATGCTTCTCTGCATGAGCTCTCTGCAATCAATGGCATCAGCAAACTGCCAAATATGAAAACAATTTTGAACTGTTAAATTTTCTGCTATGTACTTGGCACATATTTTGATTAAAGCCAAAATTTGAAGCATGTTTGCTGCATTCATAACAGCTTGTGCATTTTCAATGGAAACCTTGCACTTTCCTGAATAGATGAAGTCTAATATGGTTTCAAACACCAGGGGCTCCATATCTTTCATTTCTATTTCGGCAGATTTACTCTCTGCCATAGGGTTTGTAAACATTGCTTCAAAATAATTTGAAATGGAAGCTAGAACAACTTTGTGGCATGGAAATTTTTGCCCTGCAACGTCTATGGTTACATCGCAGAAAACGGCCTTTTTCTTAAGACGATGAATGCCATTTGTCAGTTGATAGGCGAAGCTTGGGTCTATTATTTCTTTGTACTGTAATATGGAAGTGTCCATTTTGAATACCTGCAACAGTGACATAGGAATCACTTTTAGCATGTGCATGTCAGATACACTTCTGATCCAAGAGAAAGTGAGTGAGAGAGAGAGAGAATGAAACAAAGAAAATTTAATCCTATATACAGATATGTCTGTACATATAGTCATCAGGCATCTGTCGTCACGATGCACCTCCAGTTCTATGATGACAAGTTATACAATTGTTTGATCTTTTGTCTTCAAACTCACAGAACTGATGGATATTTATAAGATATAATATTTCTAAAAATTTTTCCAAAAGCTCTGCTGTTGTTTTTTTTCAGCATATTTTGTCCACCTCTATACAAACAAGGCAGCAAAGATGTCAAATGTACAGACATAAAGCAGGGAAAAAAATTATGCACAAAATTTTTTTTTATTGTCAAATTTAAAGCAAATTTATATTATGTTGAACAGCATTATCACCACTACATTTTAACTTGTTATAACAAACACATTTGTTAAAACAAGCACATTCAGAGTACCTTTGCTGCCTTATTTATTGTAATTTACTTATTAATTTCATTTTACATCTATTTTATTGTTTTTTTCCACTAAAATCAATATTTTGCTACCACTTCCACTTTCACTTTGCTAGTCTCGTGACAAAATCTTGATAATCTTTTGCAGTTATACTGGTCCACAGCCTAAAGCATACGAGAAGAAATGTAGACAAAAAAATGAAGGCACTTACTTCTATGGAGGACAAACATATACCACTGCCAGGTAAGAATATTGGGATCTACGTGCTGGATTTTCTCTTGATGACTTTTTGTATGTTCCTAGACTTCTTGTGGGGTGGATCTGCTGTATTAATCTAGTTGTGGTGTGGTCTAATTAGCATAAATCCTTCCACCAAGTATTAAGGGACTATTTTGAGGTTAAGTCCACTGTGTACTGATACTATGATATGAACTGGTTAGGTCAGACAAGGCATAAGTTTGTTAGGCTGCTATCAGACTGTCCTAAATTGACACCATGCAGTGAACTACCGTACATATAGGTCAACAGCCAGTCAACAGCTGATTCAAGTTCAATGTCTATATATCTATAGAATGTCACATGAAGGCAACTGAACAGCACATGACGGTTAATAGAAATCTAAATTTTCATAGTAGTTTACACCAGCAGGAAAAAGTGAAGGCCTCACGAAGTTACTAACAACTTTGTAGAGTTGTTCAGGACTGACGTATGGAAGATGTTTGAAGGCTGGCCTTTTGTATATGTATGTCCACTTTAGCATGACATGTGGGAAATACTAATAAACTACTCAGATTAGGCAATTGTTTGACCTTTTGTCTTCAAACTTACTACAAAAATTTGAGCTTTTGCCACCACTCATGATATTGCCACCACTCATGATAAAGCTTAAAAGTTGAATTTAACTTTTTAAGTGGGGAGGGGGGAGTATAATAGGTCTACAGTGTGGGCCTTTCTTGAACACTAAAGCAACAGAATTAAAGCTTTTTCCTGGGCTTAGATTTTTATTTTCTTCAGTTTTGATATAGATCTATTCATTTGTAAAACAATAGGCCCGAAAAAATAAGTCTGATTTTTATGTACAGACACAGATGTGTCTGTACATATAGCCATCATCTGCGTCTGCCGTCGCCGTGCACTTTTACCGATAACACGATAAGTGGAAAACCATTTTACCTTTTGACTTGAAACTTGCAGAACTGATGAATATTCATAATACGCAGGTCAAGTTCGAAAATCAGCATGATCAGGTCACTTTTAGGGAATTTATGCTGTTTTTCACTTTTTTCAGCATATATGCAGCACCGATAACACGATAAGTGGAAAACCATTTTACCTTTTGACTTGAAACTTACAGAACTGATGAATATTCATAATACGCAGGTCAAGTTCGAAAATCAGCATG